GGGCAGTGTGCGCTTGCGCACACCGACCCATGCGGCTTTCGGCTTGCGATCGTGCTACCAACCCGCCAAAAATCGTACTATTTTTGGCGAGTTTTCCTGCGTGCTCGTAAGATGAAAGTCGTGCGACCATACAGTAAATGTGTTCGCATGCTGCCCATACGCCTGCCGATTGTCATATGATCGTGGGATCACCCACGATTATCGTACGATAATCGTCAGGTGTATGGGCACCTTTAGTCAGTAATATGGGAAAGATCAGATGCAGGTAGACCACAGGCAATACTAGCGACTAGTCCTTTGCCCTTTAACTGTCTAAACTTAAAGTGACATTAAAAGATAAACCCCCCCCCCCCATGTTAGTGTAGGAACTTACCTTAAATGATGCCTCTTGATCCGAACATCATCTTCTTTACGGTAGTTTTCAGCTGTCCCTGCAGTGCTGGTGCCAATCTCCGATCCGGCACTGACTCCTCTGTGCTAGCTGGCACTTCCTGTCCCACGGAGTCTGTGCAGGTGCACGCTGCTCCATAGACTTACCTTGTGTCTCGTCTCCTGGCCGAAGATCTGAACTGTGCATGTGCCTGCCCCAAGATCCTTTGCAACTGCCTGAGGTTGTTGTAAAAAAAAATATATTTTTGCATATATCTACTGCTTGCTAGCCATAAATATATGCAAACAACTCTGAGGGTTTGATAACCCTTTAAGCTTTGTGAATTAAAGAGAGAATTTGATTGGTTACCATGGGCAACTGCTCCAGATTCTGTCTGCTCCAGTTTTGATAAATCCCCCCTTACGTATTAATGCAGAGGTGTTAGTAGCATATATTAGCAGCAAATCTGTGTGGACGCCACACTGCCCCATCAAGGCATCTCTGTATATTGTGGTCCCTCATCTAATAAAGCTTTCAACCTGGGACATATACAGCAATTAATGGATTAATGACAGATATGCTAATTCCTCCTTAACCAATTTTTCCCTAAAGGTGCAGATACACACCAGAAGCCCATCACAACACACAGACAGCTGTGTGTCCCAGGAATTAATAACTAACTTTTTAAAGATTTTAGTGATTGGGTTTATATATACCTTATGAACTTAGATGCAAAATAATGCTTTGAATAGAAGCATGATAAGGGCCATAAGTCAAGAACGGGTCAAGTTTGTGGATAGTAAAGGACACAATGGAATTGGTAGCTAAAACTACACATATAACCTATGACAGGCAACAAGTGACCACATTAGCCAAAGCTGTCATTTTCTCTCAAACCAATTATAATCAGATCCTGTGATCTTAAAATGTGATCTTTCAGCAAATTAAAAGGTCAATCAATGATATTTCAATTATAAAAGAAGACTGTTGAGTGGGGCCACTCTTTAAATTTCTTAGAGAGTTCAGTGATTTTGTCTCCCTACTAAAGTTGCCAGCTATTTTCTTTTCCGGATTGGACTATTTGATGTTTTTACTGCTGTTGCTGTCTCTATAATGCAAAGTTAATTAAATGACTATGCTAAAAGCCCTGCCCCCTGCAACATTTTCATGTCCCACTACCGTATAAGCAGGCACAGTCTACATGTGGATGACAATTCTGCTAAGAATTCAGGAGTGGTAAAGCAGCATTGTCACCCCATCAGCAGCATGAGTCACCCCTGACTGCATGGGGTGGTCTTCAATGGCACAATCAACAAGTTTTATATGGGACTTTCCAGGTGAAGTAAAGGAAAAATTTGCAAATTAATTGATACACTTTTTTTTTTTTTTTTTTTTTTTAAATGGTAGGCCATAGTTTTGCTTTAATTCTCCAGCGTCTGTAAAGTGGTACATATTTCAGTCCTATTGTTTGCTAATTCATTTGCATAAAAGTTATGATTATATTAAACAAAAATTTGAAACTTGTAGGTTAAAATCTTTTACAGCATTTCGGCTCTGCGTAACATACAGTTTAAATTAGTTAGCCTTTCATATTAACAGCAGCAAAGCAGACATTGGCAAGACCTTGGAGCTCTAGTACACCGTCTAAACACCATTAAGAAGCAAGGTAAGGTGGTATATGATAAATTAAAACTTTTTGCAAATTTAAATGACACAATCGTTACATTCAATAAAACATGGGACCCTTGGATGCAAAATTACATGTCAGTGGACTTCGAAATTACATAACTAGATAGAAGTTAAGGTCTGAAGATTAAGATATAAATTAGGAAGGTATGTTGGAATGGGGAGAGAGAGGAAAAGAGGTTTTTTTTGTCTGGGAAGGTGTGAGAAGAGTGAATGGGGTTGTAAGGATACAAGCGAAGAAGGTATTTAGAAATTTAAAAGGGTTATAAGGGGTGCTTATGGCGTTTTTAATGTTTAATCTTTTGTGTATTTCTCCCTAATATTGGAGAAGAATTATGTTAAAATTTGATGCTTTAAATTGTATGTTTTGAAACTATTTAAAATGAATAAAGATTATTGGAAAAAGGAGTGGTGCAGCAGCATTGTCACCCCATCAGCAACATCAGTCACCCCAGGCTGCATAGGGTGGTCTTCAAAGGCACAATAAACAAGTATACAGGGGACTCTTCCAGGGCAAGTAAAGGAAACATTTGCAAATAAATTGATACAACCCTTATTATTTTTTTTAAGGTAGGCCATAGTTCTGCTTTTTCTCCAGCATTCTCCAGCAGTGGTACAAATTTCAGTCCTATTGTTTGCTAATTCGTTTGCATAAAAGTTATGATTTTATTAACCAAAAATGTGAAACTTGTGTGAGTAGGTTAAAATCTATTACAGCATGAAGAAAGAAAATCAATAGAATAAAGACTTGTTGAAAATGGACTTTTATATGATTGTAATTTGGAGAGAATAAAAAAAAATGAGTGACAAGTAAAAGAAAATGGTTTAGTGGATTTTTATTGCAGGAATATAAAGTGCAGTAATATTAAGACTATGTACTACATGTATGCACTACTTTTCTATGTGTAGCATGTTGCTAACAAAATTTGGCTTGACATGTCAAAATATTTATGTCTTTACAGTATTACCAAGCCACACATGTGGAAATCCTGGGCGACTACAAAATGGTGTACAACAGGGGACCACATTCAATGTGGGGGACAAAGTCCGGTACAGCTGCAATGCAGGCTACATGCTTGAAGGACATGCCCTACTAAGCTGTGTATCCAACTCCCAAAATAGCGCCTCTTGGGATTTTCCTCTTCCAGCTTGTAGAAGTAAGTTCAGTTTGAAGTAATATTAAACATTCATATTTTTTAATATGCTTTAATATGGATGTAATAATTAATCCAGATCAAACAAATATACTGTACATTGCCCTGCAAAGTATTTCTTTACATTTTTGCCCAAGCAATTACAGTCATGTTTCTGAACAGCCGGCTACAACTTGCTCAGCTTCCCTTAGCTTCCTGTCTAGTAGAAGATCGCAAGGGACAGAGCAGTCTCCAGCAGCTGTCCATCTACTAGCTTGGAGAAGGGAAAAGTGAGGAAGGAGGAGTGGGGAGCAGGGGAGAGACTTGTCTTGCTGTGCCTGTGTGTTTGTGGAGACACACACAGCTTACTAGCACATACATGTTTGGCTTTATAGGACCCTGCAAGAAAAAGCAGCCACCCTAAAACAAGATATCAGGGGCAGTGCTCAGGGGACCAGCTGATTCTGCAGGAAGCTAAAATATTTAAACATCAAGAAGCAGCATCCACTGTAAACTATTTAATCAGCATTTAAAACTTTTGACTTAAATATCACTTTAAATTCCTAGTGTTATTTATTGTGCTGAATGAAAATAGTTCTTAAGGGGGTCTATTTATAAATTGGATTCAGTTGGGAGATGTGTGAATGCTAGGTGAAAGTTGTGTGAATCTTGGATGAAAATATATGTAAATAAACCCCTTCGAATTTTTATCCAGATAAAACTGTATAAGTAGAGGTTTGCGAAAAAATGTCCATTGTGTGTCTCTAGTGCGGTTTAACCTCTTTTGCTTCCAGATAGTCCAGTGGCAACATGCTATGACAAAATGCAACTAGTCATTTACAGCACCAAGATATATGTGTTTTTTGCAGCCTTATTTCAGTGTATGTCATATTATTGTTTGGACATTTGAACTACTTGAGGATTTTGAACATAAGAGATACATCCTAAAAACTTTAGCAAAGTTTTTAGGATGCTTCTGTTACATCCAGCGTTGTCCCCCCAGCCGCTGCTACTCTCACAACTATTACTAGTGAAAATGACAGCCAGTAATTACTTTGTATTACTGTGTGTCTGTCAAAATGCAGTCGCTTCTGTGTAAAATTGCAAGTGTATATAGTCTGGAAGTGTAATTGAATGAGTACAATGAATCAATTCATTGTATTTACTATTTCATTTATATGTGTGACCTTTAATCCGCATATGACACCATTGAAATAAAAAAATGTAAATGTATTTCTATTTAACCCTTTATTAACCTTTAGTTAAACTTAATCAATCCCAATTAAT